ACACTATGAAGATCCAAAATTAAACCCGAAATTTTTTTGCTCGGAATTTCATGAAACTTTAGGTGAATGCTCTCCTTGATATAGGGAACAAACCTCAATACTTTTTAGCACTCAATTCCTTGCCAAAACTTCCAGATTTCAAAACCCACTTCGTCTTCTTCAAAGCTTCTTCAACCAACAATGGTGGAAACTTCAATAGTGAACCAAACTTCACCAAATCTCAGATCTAAACTCAAATAAGGTTAGGGAACACTAATATAACCTTAGAAACTTCAAACAGGACTCAAATGAACAAAATATTTTTGGGGTTTTCTAGAAAACGTTTTTTACCCCTTTTTTTTTGTAACAACCCAAGACTAGAATTCGTAGGAACGATTCTAACCTTGCCTGATACCAAATGATGTAATTTCTCACTAGAAGAATCACAACAAATAGCGGAAAACAAGAAACATAGAAGAAGAGACACAAGATAAGAAACAATTGGCAACTAAAGGATGTATTAAATCAATAAACTCCAATCTAGATCCTAACAAGTACCAAATCTGGATAAATAAATAGACACAAAAGGAGGAAACAAAGAGCAACCTAAGGGTATATTAAACCCAAAGACCTCAGCTCGTTAATCCGTCAAGAAGCATCTAACTCTTATGAAGACCTCGAGGCAATCAATATCCCAAGAAACCTTCGTTTCTAAACAAGGTTCAACAAAATCTTACCAAGCTTTCAACACTCACACAAGGAGTTTATGTTTACAACCACAATATTCAAATCAATCTACCCTAAAATGAAACTCTAAAGGCCTATTTAAAGTTTTAGGCATTATTACATAGATGGCCCAAAGGTGACCCAAAATGGGCCAATGGGCGAGCCACGTACGGATCGCCTAATGACTCGGCGATGCGTCCAATAGGTTTGGCGAAGAACTCTGCTCCTTGCCTTGGCTGGGAAGCTACTGGAACTTTGGGCGTCTGGGAACCATCGCCCCAGTCCTCTCGGGGATGCCCAATGGTCTTCAGCTCGCCTAGTCAGCAATTTTCCCCTTTGTAGCTCCTTGGGCAGTTGGCGATACTGGGAGCACTCGGCAAAGGCTTTGGCGAGTCGCCGAAGAGTTCTCCATCTCGTCGAATGGAGCACATTCTTCACTTGCTCCTCCTCGCTTCGTTAGGCCTTCCACGCTCCAAGCTATAATCCAAGCATGGTGTTGCCCAATTGGGAGTTCCTTCATGATGCATATGTTCCCATGCAACGCATGGAACTCCCGCCTAGGCATCCATACATGCCAAACAACCTCCATCATTTTGAACACTCCATAAAAGCATTGAAGTACGTGAATGGATAGGCTTGATGTAATCCATTTTACATCATTCTCACCTTCTTGAAAAGGATTCGTCCTCGAATCCATACCTTGAAAACCCTAGGGGGAGCAAACAAACAAGATCCTCATGGCATGATGGTTAGCGTTAGCTATTGAAGGTATAGGTGTTGTGCCTTCCATCATATATTGACGCGTGGCTTTGTTGCCAAGGCACCCCAAGTAGTACACGACTAGCTTGCATAGGAATCACATCACAAATTACAGCATCATGATATTTCCCAATTTGGAACTTAATCAACACATGTTCATGTACCCTCAATTCCTCCTCATTTAACCATTGAAGTTTGTATGGCTTAGCATGCTTTATTGGTAGGAAGCTTCTAGTAGTCCACCACAATTGTGCTAGCAAGGTTGGCATAACCTCCACTGTCAATGATCAAAACACATACTTGGCTCTGGATGAGGCACTTGGAGTAGAAGATATTCTCCGTTTGCTTGTGATTGATCATGGCCTTCCTAGGTATAGTTTGTGTTACCACATAAGATGGTAATGTGAACCCTGTCTCTTTGGTTAAAATCTCATCCTCCACTTTGGTCAGTCTAGATTTTCTCTCGGATAGACGACCTCTAAACTCATCCAAGCTTCCATCCAACATCCTCATAATCCGACTCTCTTCAGTAGGAGTCCTCATGGAATATTCTAAGGTAACCTTTCCCTTCGATGGGTAGGTTTTGTTTCCGATTTCCATGGTACCTAGCAATAAGAAATAGTCAACAAAAACAATAAACAACAACGTTAGCATTAGTGAAAATGAACTCACAATCACTCGTGTTTACACACCTTTGATTCCCTTTCAAATTGGCGCGGCTAATGTTGAAGATTGCTTATACTCAACTTATCACAAAAGAGCTAATTCTACTTTTTGTCGGAATGGATTTTTGTTTAATGAAAAACGGACGACTCAATTAAAGCAAACGGACTTGAGTCAAGAAAGAAGTTAACTACGAAGTAAAACGAATAAAAGCACACAAAGAAAGCACTAACAAAGAAGTGAATTTCGAAAACCAATAGTCAACGAGTAGGTACTTACAAGTTGAAAATCAGTTTACGAATCTTGATTATGAACTAGAGTCAAAAGAAAAGAAACTAAGAATTAGAACCTGAGATGAAAAGGGTTATAAGACGAGTTTTCCATCGCCAAATGGCCTGTGTTCTTCTTCTAACGTGAAGTTCAGCTCGCCAGCTTGAAGATTAACTCACCAAACTCTACAAATGGACAAGGCAACTTGGTGATCTGGGTGGAAGTTCGGCGATGCGCCGAGTGGGTTCCGTGACCATGGCTTAGGTCGTCAAAATTTCCAGTGTCTTCACCAAAATGAGGTCCAACTCGGCGACCTAGCTGCCAAAAGGGCGAGGAGCCAAGTGGAATGGGCGATACTGATAGCATCCAAGGAAGCTCTACTACATTGAAGGACAAGGATGACGCTTTAGAAACTCCAAGGAGGCCCATAACAAGATCTCAAACCAAGGAGTTCAATGATAAGCTCAATGGGCTTCAATCGCTGATCCAAAGGTTTCTTATTGGGGAAGAAGAGCTCAAGCCCAAGGGAGAGGAATTGTCCAAATGCTACAATTATTTGGTGGCCCAAATTCAAGCCCAAGATGAGGAATTTTAAGGTCCAATTTCGTGCAAAAAAGGTCAAGAAGAGTCCAAGAATCAGCCACAACAAGAGTTGCTTTCTGCCCAAGTTTTGAGAGAAGACTAGTCAAACTTTCCAAGATTGTCAAGATTCTTTTCCTAGTTGGGATTTACCTTATTTATTTATTTATATATAGGTTATTAATATTTTCCTTAGTCTATTTATGGTCTCCTAAGTACCATTTAATGCTTTCCTAGAAGTACTAAATTTGTTCCTAGTTAGGTTACTTTATTTCCTTTCCAGAGTAGGATTCCTTGTAATTGTCTTTCTAGGGTCCTTGGACGTTTGTTTCCCCTTCTCCTATATATAGGAGTCCTTTTCATTCATTAAAGACAATTTACATTGATATTAATAATATTTGAGAGAGTTCTTTGAACCTTTGTGACTTGTTCTTTGAGAATTTATCTTTAAACCTTTACTATTCATAGTTTAAGGTATAAAGTAACTTCTTCTTGTGATATCTTTGGTTTCTTTTTGGTATTCTTTAGAAGGTGATTAGTTTCTACATACTAATTATTGTCTTTAGTTACTCATAAAGTGGTCAAGATCCGAATCTATCGTTTTGATTCGTTTTCTCAAGTAAAGGCGTTAGATTTCTTCCATAAATCTATACGTTGTTACTTGGATCTTTTCAAGGCCTTAGAACATCTAATCTTTGGAAATTCGTGGATCTTTCCTTCGAATTTCCCATATCTTTATTTAGTTTTTTTGTTTCTTTTCTTTGTGCTTCCGCATTCTAATATTTAATTCTCTATTTGTGATCTCCCTTAACCTTGCTGTTATCAAGTGGTATCAGAGCGGTTCTATCAAGATTCCGTTCTTGATAAATCTTGGGATTTCTTCTTAGAGCAAAAAAAATCAAAAAAAAACTGTAGCGTGAACAGTAGCGTCGTGAAAAAAAAAAAAAAAAAAATTTTTTTTTGGTAGCGTGAACAGTAGCGTGAACAGAAAATAATAATAAAAAAAAGTTATAGCTTGCTCTCCAAGAAATTTGATTACTTGATACCCAAGAAAGTTTATTACTTGCCATTCTAGAAATCTTATTACTTGATCTCCAAGTTTTGCATTAATTTGTTTCCAAGCAAGAAGGTAGCAAGAAGAGGGGATTCTAGACCTTTAAGAATAAGAGGAATTTTTTTTTCTTGTTCTTATAATTCTAAAATAAGTCCTTTTTATTCGCGTTTTGTTTCAACTAAATCCTACTTGTTCTAGGACTAGTTCTTTACTTTCTTTTGTACCCCAAGATTCCATACTTTATTACTACGAACTTGATACACGTTTTGGTTTAATTATAAATCTACAAAAGTATTCTCGTTCAAAGGTGATTTTGAGTGGAAAAAGGCAAGTGTGGGTGAGTTTAAAAGAGGGTAAAAGCCATATTAAAAGTGTGATACTTGATCATTTATTCTTTTTTTTTTTAGATGTCTAATTCAGGTGGTGATGAGGAAAGGGCTCGTTTAGAAGCCGAGGTCAAAGGAAGGAACGACTTCACCCTTCAAGCTATGCACCAACAATTTGAGAGATGGACCCTTCAATTTCAAGAGATGAGGGATATGATTATCGAGCAGAATGACACCATAGCTGCAATTAGGAGGGAGAATAATGTTGTACCCCCAAATAATGTTAGACCCCAAGTTAGAAGGAATGTACCCCATATCCCTTTTGTAAATCCTGAATATGATAATGATGATTTTGATGTTGAATTTAATCTAGAAAGAAGAGATAGGAGGGGACAAAGAGGTAGAGTAGAAGATGATAATATAAATAGTATAAAGATGAAGATGCCATCTTTCAAGGGGACAAGGGATCCAGACTTGTACCTTGATTGGGAGAGACGAGTTGAAGCCATCTTTGATTGCCATAACTACTCTGAGGGTAAGAAAGTTAAACTTGTGTTGTTGAGTTTTCTGATTATGCTGCTTCTTGGTGGAAAAAGCTTGCTAGGGACAGATTGCAAGAGGAGTTACCACCTATTGCTACGTGGGCAGAGATGAAGAGGGTAATGAGGAAGCGATTTATTCCATCATACTTCCAAAGAGATCTACAATCTCGCCTTCAACGCTTGAAGCAAGGCTCCATGTCGGTGGATGAGTACTTCAAAAGCATGGATATGGCTATGATCCAAGCTAACTGCATGGAGGAAGAAGAGGCTACAATAGCTAGATTTTTAAATGGTTTAAATACAGAAATAGCTAATGTAGTAGAGATACAACAATATGTAACTTTAGATGAGTTAGTTGATTTGTCTGTAAAAGTTGAAAAACAAATTGAGAAAAAGCAGCAAAATAACTCATGGAGAAGTCGACCAAACACTATCTCTAAGAAGCCATGGTCAACTCAAGAGGGGAAAGCTCCTTCCAAACCTCAAGATGATAGAGGTAAAGGTAAGGTTGAGGAGGGAGGTAAAACCTTTAATCCTAAATCTTCTAAACCTTCAAGTTCTATTCAATGTCACAAATGTCATGGAAGGGGGCATATGATGCATGAATGTCCAAGTAGAAGAAACATCCTACTTAGAGAGAATGGAGAATATGAGAGTGAAAAAAGTGAGGGGGAAGAAGAAGAGGGAGAAGGTGTAAGTGAGGAAGATGATTTGGAATTGCCTAATGATGGTATAATTGGGGTGGTTAGGAGAATTATGACTATCAATTTGGGTAGTGTTGATGAAGGGCAGAGAGAGAATTTGTTTCATACTAGGTGTGGGATAAAAGGGAAGACTTATTCTATGATTATTGATGGGGGAAGTTGTGCAAATGTGGTGAGTTCATACTTGGTGGATAAACTAGGAATTGCATGCATGAAGCGCTCTACCCCATATAGGCTCCAATGGTTGAATGATTGTGGAGAAGTAAAAGTAAACAAACAATGCATGATTTCATTCAATGTTGGTAGGTATGAAGATGAGATTCTTTGTGATGTAGTTCCAATGCAAGCATGTCATGTTTTACTTGGCCGACCTTGGCAGTATGATAGGGATACTACTCATCATGGGAGAAAGAATAGGTATAGTCTTCTGCATAATGGTAAGAAGTATACTCTTGCACCATTATCTCCTTCTCAAGTGTTTGAAGATCAAAAACGATTGAGGGAAACAATGGGAAAACAAAAGGGAGAGGTAAAAAGTGAGCTTGAGGGAAAAGAAAAAGGCCAAGAGATAGAAAAAAAGAGAGATGGCCGAGAGAAAGAGAGAGAGGGCAGCGATCTAAGTAAAGAGGTAAAAGAGGGTGTGAGTAAAAAAATAAAATGTTTTGGTGAGAGGAAAGAGGCTAAGGAAAAGAAAAATGAGAGCCTTTATATAAAAGCCAAAGAGTGTTTGAATGCTAGGAGAGAGGGACTGCCCATAATACTACTTACTTACAAAGAAATATTGATTAATTTTGAACAACTAACTCCTTCTTTGCCAAATAGTGTTTCTTCTCTTTTGCAGAATTTTGAAGATGTTTTTCCTGATGACACTCCAAAGGGATTGCCACCTTTGAGAGGGATTGAGCACCAAATAGACTTTGTGCCTGGGTCTCAACTTCCTAATAGGCCTGCCTATAGGAGCAATCCTGAAGAGACCAAAGAATTACAACGGCAAGTTGAAGAATTGCTTGTAAAGGGATTTGTTCGAGAGAGTATGAGCCCATGCTCTGTTCCAGTCCTATTGGTCCCCAAAAAGGATGGAACATGGAGGATGTGTGTAGATTGTCGAGCCATCAACAAGATAACGGTAAAGTATCGCCATCCTATCCCTCGTCTTGATGACATGTTGGACCAACTGTATGGTTCCAAAATCTTTTCTAAAATTGATCTAAAGAGTGGTTACCATCAGATTCGTATGAATCCTGGAGATGAATGGAAAACTGCTTTTAAGACCAAATATGGACTTTATGAGTGGTTAGTTATGCCCTTTGGCTTGACTAATGCACCAAGCACTTTTATGAGACTAATGAATCATGTTTTTAAAGATTTCCATGGAAAATTTATTGTGGTGTATTTTGATGACATCTTGATCTTTTCTCAAAATCTGGATGAACACCTAGAGCACTTAAAACAAGTTTTTGAAGTTCTTAGAAATCAGCGCTTATTTGCTAATCTCAAAAAGTGTACTTTCTGTGTGGATCGTGTGGTTTTCTTAGGTTTTGTGGTCAGTTCTAAGGGAGTTGAAGTAGATGATGAGAAAATCAAGGCAATAAAAGAATGGCCTAAACCTAATAGTGTAACTGAAGTTAGGAGTTTTCATGGACTTGCTAGTTTTTATAGGAGGTTTGTGCGAGACTTTAGCACCATTGCTGCTCCTTTAACTGAAGTTATTAAAAAAGATAAGGTTTTTACATGGGGAAAGGAACAAGATGATGCATTTAACTTGCTGAAGGATAAATTGTGTTCTGCGCCTCTTTTGCAATTGCCTGATTTTTCTAAGTCTTTTGAAGTTGAGTGTGATGCCTCTGGTAAGGGCATAGGTGCAGTTTTGATGCAAGACTCCAAGCCAATTGCCTACTTTAGTGAAAAGCTAAGTGGAGCAACATTGAACTACTCAACTTATGATAAGGAGCTATATGCCTTGGTGAGGGCGTTAGCTACATGGCAGCACTACTTGTGGCCTCGAGAATTTGTGGTCAAGACTGATCATGAGTCATTAAAATACTTGAAGAGCCAAGGTAAACTTAGTCGTAGGCATGCTAAATGGGTAGAGTTTATTGAAACTTTTCCTTATGTAATTGCTTACAAACAAGGAAAGGAGAATGTGGTTGCTGATGCACTCTCAAGAAGGTATGTTTTGATCTCTACTCTTACTTCAAAGTTATTGGGTTTTGACCAAATCAAGTTCCTCTATGCTAATGATTTGATTTTGGTGAGATTTTTGCTGAATGTAAGTTAGGTCCTTTTGAGAAATTTAATCTTCAAGATGAATTTCTATTCAAGGAAAATAAATTATGTGTTCCTAACTGCTCGTTGCGTGAACTATTTGTTAGGGAAGCACATTGTGGAGGGCTAATGGGACATTTTGGTGTACCCAAAACACTGGAAATACTTTCTGAACATTTTTATTGGCCTAGCATGAGAAAGGATGTTGAAAAAGTGTGTTCTTATTGTCTTGAATGTAAACAGGCTAAGTCTAGAACATTGCCGCATGGTCTTTATACTCCTTTACCTGTTTCTAATTCCCCTTGGATTGATATTTCTATGGATTTCATATTGGGGCTGCCAAGACTAAGTATGGTAAGGATAGTATATTTGTGGTAGTAGATAGATTTTCTAAAATAGCTCGTTTTATCCCATGTAAAAAGACTAATGATGCATCTCATGTGGCTGACTTGTTTGTAAAGGAAGTGGTTAAATTGCATGGAATACCTAGAACTATTGTTAGTGATAGGGATGCCAAGTTCTTAAGTCACTTTTGGAGAATTCTTTGGGGAAAGTTGGGAACTAAATTGCTATTTTCTACATCTTGTCACCCACAAACGGACGGGCAAACGGAAGTGGTTAATAGAACTTTAGGGAACATGTTTAGGGCTATTTTGAAAGGAAAGTTGACTTCTTGGGAAGATTACTTACCTATTGTAGAATTTGCTTATAATAGGACCTTCCATTCTTCTACTGGTAAGACTCCTTTTAAAGTTGTATATGGATTCAACCACCTTACCCCCTTGATTTATTGCCTTTGCCTACTAATGATTTTGCTAATCTTGATGGTAAGAAAAAGGCTGATATGATGAAGAAAATTCATGAACAAACAAGGCTTGCAATTGAAAAGAAGAACAAGGAAGTTGCATTGCGAAGGAATAAGGGCAGAAAATATGTTGTTTTTAAACCTGGTGACTTGGTTTGGGTGCATATGCGAAAGGAAAGATTTCCTTCCAAAAGAAAGACCAAACTAGATCCTAGAGGAAGTGGGCCATACAAAGTCCTTGAAAGGATTGGAGACAATGCTTATAAACTTGATCTTCCTGGTGAGTTCCAAGTTAGTGCTACTTTTAATGTTTCTGATCTTTCCCATTATGATGCAGATTTAGATTCGAGGACGAATTCTCTTCAAGAAGAGGGGAATGATAGCATCCAAGGAAGCTCTACTCCATTGAAGGACAAGGATGACGCTTTAGAAACTCCAAGGAGGCCCATAACAAGATCTCAAACCAAGGAGTTCAATGATAAGCTCAATGGGCTTCAATCGCTGATCCAAAGGTTTCTTATTGGGGAAGAAGAGCTCAAGCCCAAGGGAGAGGAATTGTCCAAATGCTACAATTATTTGGTGGCCCAAATTCAAGCCCAAGATGAGGAATTTTAAGGTCCAATTTCGTGCAAAAAAGGTCAAGAAGAGTCCAAGAATCAGCCACAACAAGAGTTGCTTTCTGCCCAAGTTTTGAGAGAAGACTAGTCAAACTTTCTAAGATTGTCAAGATTCTTTTCCTAGTTGGGATTTACCTTATTTATTTATTTATTTATTTATATATAGGTTATTAATATTTTCCTTAGTCTATTTATGGTCTCCTAAGTACCATTTAATGCTTTCCTAGAAGTACTAAATTTGTTCCTAGTTAGGTTACTTTATTTCCTTTCTAGAGTAGGATTCCTTGTAATAGTTTTTTTAGGGTTTGGCTTCTTGGACGTTTTTCCCTTCTCCTATATATAGGAGTCCTTTTCATTCATTAAAGACAATTTAGATTGATATTAATAATATTTGGGAGAGTTCTTTGAACCTTTGTGACTTGTTCTTTGAGAATTTATCTTTAAACATTTACTAGTTTCATAGTTTAAGGTATAAAGTAACTTCTTCTTGTGATATCTTTGGTTTCTTTTTGGTATTCTTTAGAAGGTGATTAGTTTCTACATACTAATTATTGTCTTTAGTTACTCATAAAGCGGTCAAGATCCGAATCTATCGTTTTGATTCGTTTTCTCAAGTAAAGGCGTTAGATTTCTTCCATAAATCTATACGTTGTTACTTGGATCTTTTCAAGGCCTTAGAACATCTAATCTTTGGAAATTCGTGGATCTTTCCTTCGAATTTCCCATATCTTTATTTAGTTTTTTTGTTTCTTTTCTTTGTGCTTCCGCATTCTAATATTTAATTCTCTATTTGTGATCTCCCTTAACCTTGCTGTTATCAGATACAAGTCGGGATTTGCCCAAATTCATCAAGCTACAACCGCAAGGCTCCGAAAATTTAACTTTGGTGGTCCCACCGTCTTCCTTTGCCTTTTGTATTTACCCTTTTTGTAAATTCTTTTTTGACAAACACTTTAACACTTTCTCTTTCATCCTTTTTGAAATTAAACCCTTTCCTTTTCAAATATTCCCTTATTGAAGATTTGAATATTCTTCAAGAACACTATGAAGATCCAAAATTAAACCCCGAAATTTTTTTGCTCGGAATTTCATGAAACTTTAGGTAAATGCTCTCCTTGATATAGGGAACAAACCTCAAAACCTTTTAGCACTCAATTCCTTGCCAAAACTTCCAGATTTCAAAACCCACTTCGTCTTCTTCAAAGCTTCTTCAACCAACAATGGTGGAAACTTCAATAGTGAACCAAACTTCACCAAATCTCAGATCTAAACTCAAATAAGGTTAGGGAACACTAATATAACCTTAGAAACTTCAAACAGGACTGAAATGAACAAAATATTTTTGGGGTTTTCTAGAAAACGTTTTTGACGCTTTTTTTTTGTTACAACCCAAGACTAGAAGTCGTAGGAACGATTCTAACCCTTGCCCTGATAGCAAATGATGTAATTTCTCACTAGAAGAATCACAACAAATAGCGGAAAAGAAGAAACACAGAAGAAGAGACACAAGATAAAAAACAATTGGGAACTAAAGGATGTATTAAATCCAATAAACTCCAATCTAGATCCTAACAAGTACCAAATCTGGATAAATAAATAGACACAAAAGGAGGAAACAAAGAGCAACCTAAGGGTATATTAAACCCAAAGACCTCAGCTCGTTAATCCGTCAAGAAGCATCTAACTCTTATGAAGACCTCGAGGCAATCAATATCCCAAGAAACCTTCGTTTCTAAACAAGGTTCAGCAAAATCTTACCAAGCTTTCAACACTCACACAAGGAGTTTATGTTTACAACCACAATTTTCAAAATCAATCTACCCTAAAATGAAACTCTAAAGGCCTATTTAAAGTTTTAGGCATTACTACATAGATGGCCCAAAGGTGACCCAAAATGGGCCAATGGGCGAGCCACGTAGGGATCGCCTAATGACTCGGCAATGCGCCCAATAGGTTTGGCGAAGAACTCTGCTACTTGCCTTGGCTGGGAAGCTACTGGAACTTTGGGCAGTCTGGGAACCATCGCCCCCAGTCCTCTCGGGGATGCCCAATGGTCTTCATCTCGCCTAGTGAGCAGTTTTCCCCTTTGTAGCTCCTTGGGCAGTTGGCGATACTGGGAGCACTCGGCAAAGGACTTTGGCGAGTCACCGAAGAGTTCTCCATCTCGTCGAATGGAGCACATTCTTCACTTGCTCCTCCTCGCTTCGTTAGGCCTTCCACGCTCCAAGCTATAATCCAAGCATGGTGTTGCCCAATTGGGAGTTCCTTCATGATGCATATGTTCCCATGCAACGTATGGAACTCCCCCCTTGGCATCCATACATGCCAAACAACCTCCATCCTTTTGAACACTCCATAAAAGCATTAAAGTTCGTGAATGGATAGGCATGATGTAATCCATTTTACATCATTCTCACCTTCTTTAAAAGGATTCGTCCTCGAATCCATACCTTGAAAACCCTAGGGGGAGCAAACAAACAAGATCGTCATGGCATGAGGGTTAGTGTTAGCTATTGAAGGTATAGGTGTTGTGCCTTCCATCATATATTGACGCGTGGCTTTGTTGCCAAGGCACCCCAAGTAGTACACGACTAGCTTGCATAGGAATCACATCACAAATTGTGCATCATGATATTTCCCAATTTGGAACTTAATCAACACATGTTCATGTACCCTCAATTCCTCCTCATTTAACCATTGAAGTCTGTATGGCTTAGCATGCTTTATTGGTAGGAAGCTTCAAGTAGTCCACCACAATTGTGCTAGCAAGGTTGGCATAACCTCCACTGTCAATGATCAAAACACATACTTGGCTCTGGATGAGGCACTTGGAGTAGAAGATATTCTCCGTTTGCTCGTGATTGATCATGGCCTTCCTAGGTATAGTTTGTGTTACCACATAAAATGGTTATGTGAACCCTGTCTCTTTGGCTAAAATCTCATCCTCCACTTTGGTCAGTCTAGATTTCTCTCGGATAGACGACCTCTAAACTCATCCAAGCTTCCATCCAACATCCTCATAATCCGACTCTCTTCAGTAGGAGTCCTCATGGAATATTCTAAGGTAACCTTTCCCTTCGATGGGTAGGTTTTGTTTCCGATTTCCATGGTACCTAGCAATAAGAAATAGTCAACAAAAACAATAAACAACAACGTTAGCATTAGTGAAAATGAACTCACAATCACTCGTGTTTACACACCTTTGATTCCCTTTCAAATTGGCGCGGCTAATGTTGAAGATTGCTTATACTCAACTTATCACAAAAGAGCTAATTCTACTTTTGGTTGGAATGGATTTTTGTTTAATGAAAAACGGACGACTCAATTAAAGCAAACGGACTTGAGTCAAGAAAGAAGTTAAATACGAAGTAAAACGAATAAAAGCACACAAAGAAAGCACTAACAAAGAAGTGAATTTCGAAAACCAATAGTCAACGAGTAGGTACTTACAGGTTGAAAATCAGTTTACGAATCTTGATAATGAACTAGAGTCAAAAGAAAAGAAACTAAGAATTAGAACCTGAGATGAAAAGGGTTATAAGACGAGTTTTCCATCGCCAAATGGCCTGTGTTCTTCTTCTAACGTGAAGTTCAGCTCGCCAGCTTGAAGATTAACTCACCAAACTCTACCAATGGAAAGGCAACTTGGTGATCTGGGTGGAAGTTCGGCGATGCGCCGAGTGGGTTCCGTGACCATGGCTTAGGTCGTCGAAATTTCCAGTGTCTTCACCAAAATGAGGTCCAACTCGGCGACCTAGCTGCCAAAAGGGGGAGGAGCCAAGTGGAATGGGCGATACAAGTCGGGATTTGCCCAAATTCATCAAGCTACAACCCGCAAGGCTCCGAAAATTTAACTTTGGTGGTCCCACCGTCTTCCTTGGCCTTTTGTATTTACCCTTTTTGTAAATTCTTTTTGTACAAACACTTTCTCTTTCATCCTTTTTGGAATTAAACCCTTTCCTTTTCAAATATTCCCTTATTGAAGATTTGAATATTCTTCAAGAACACTATGAAGATCCAAAATTAAACCCCGAAATTTTTTTGCTCGGAATTTCATGAAACTTTAGGTGAATGCTATCCTTGATATAGGGAACAAACCTCAAAACTTTTTAGCACTCAATTCCTTGCCAAAACTACCAGATTTCAAAACCCACTTCGTCTTCTTCAAAGCTTCTTCAACCAACAATGGTGGAAACTTCAATAGTGAACCAAACTTCACCAAATCTCAGATCTAAACTCAAATAAGGTTAGGGAACACTAATATAACCTTAGAAACTTCAAACAGGACTCAAATGAACAAAATATTTTTGGGGTTTTCTAGAAAACGTTTTTGACGCTTTTTTTTTGTTACAACCCAAGACTAGAAGTCGTAGGAACGATTCTAACCCTTGCCCTGATAGCAAATGATGTAATTTCTCACTAGAAGAATCACAACAAATAGCGGAAAACAAGAAACATAGAAGAAGAGACACAAGATAAAAAACAATTGGGAACTAAAGGATGTATTAAATCCAATAAACTCCAATCTAGATCCTAACAAGTACCAAATCTGGATAAATAAATAGACACAAAATGAGGAAACAAAGAGCAACCTAAGGGTATATTAAACCCAAAGACCTCAGCTCGTTAATCCGTTAAGAAGCATCTAACTCTTATGAAGACCTCGAGGCAATCAATATCCCAAGAAACCTTCGTTTCTAAACAAGGTTCAACAAAATCTTACCAA